GGGGGAGAGAGAGGGGGGAGGGGGAGGGGGAGAGGGAGTGGATTTGGGAATGGGGAGAGGAGGGACAGAAATGTGAGGAGCGTTACCAATGCCGGGGTCTCCTTGCCTGGGTCGGGGAGAGGGTCAGAGAGATCAGGGACCCAGCCTGGGTCTAAGCCACGTTCTACATGACCTGAACTGGGGAGGCTCCTCTCCGAGCCTCCCCGAGCTTCCCCTTGTGACGCCTGATGTTGTTTCTCCGGGAAAATTCCCACCTCATCCGGATGGAGTCTCCGACGCCAGCAACCATCACAAGACTAATGAAGCAGAGCAACAAGAGGAAACAGCTGAGCTCCATCACTGGTCCGTCGATCACACTCACTGCAGAGGGGAACATACGCACAGAGCAGTCACTGCGACCCTGTATGGCCCAGCCCTCAAACCTATCCTGACCTTTATTCCCCAAAACCATCCCAACCATCAACCTCATCCCCAGCCCCATCGCCAACCCACATTCCTCATTCCCCATCCCTAACCCCCATCCCCATTTCCCAATACCCAACCCTATTCCCTATTCTCAGTCTCTTCCCAACTCCCACAATGCTCCCCTCCAACAACTTTGTCCCCCTTCCTCTCCCATACTCATTTTCTCTCTCTCAGTCTCCGTTTTCCTTTTCATCATTGTCGTTTTCTCTCCCAATCTTTCTTTGTCTCTCTCTGTCTCTCTCTGCCTTTGTCTGTCCTTATGTGACTCTCTCTCTAACTCCCTCTCTATCTTCATCTTTTCCTCTCTGTCTCTGTAGCTCTCTGCCTCTCTGAGTCTTCCTCTCTCTTTTTCTTTCTGTCTCTCTCTCTCTCACTCACTTCTGTCTATGTCTCTCTTTCTGTCTCTCCCTCTCTCTCCGTCCCTCTCTCCCAGTTTCTGTTTCTCCTGCTGGCTCTCTCTGTCTGTCTCTCTTTTTCTCCCTCTGTCTGTCTTTCTCTGTCTCTCACTGTGTCTACCTTTCTCTCTCTCTGTCTTTATCTCCCTCTCTTTCTGTCTTCTTTTTTCCTTCTCTGTCTCTCTCCCTGTTTCTGTTACTCTTGCTGCCCCTCTGTCTGTCTGTCTATCTCTCTCTCTCCCCCACCCTTCTCTCTCTGTTTGTCTCTTTCTGTGTCTCCCTCCCGCTCTGTCTCTTCCTCGTTCTCTTTTTCTCTCTTGCTATCTCTCTGTCTCTTTCTGCCTATCCCTCTCTCCCTGTGTCTGTTTCTCCTGCTCTCTGTCTGGCTCTCTGCCCATCAGTCTCTCTCGAGGTGAGACTCTGTGTCTGCCTCTGAGTGGCAGTGTTTCTATTGTTTTAGTGAAAGCTAACTGAAGCTAAACTGCTGACTCATGAAGTGCTTGGTCTAACATTGAGCTGGAAACCTGACGCATGGAGAAAATTGCACACAGACAAGAGATAAACCTGCAGCAACTGAGCAGATGACGTGAACTATTGCAGCTTATTCACTCTGAGAGCTGCTGAAAGTGCAGGTTCGGTGTTTTGATGTTTCCGCAATGTTTGTAAGCAATGCAGCACACAAAGGCTCAGGGATGTGACTGCAGAGGTTTCCAAAGGACTGGGAATCTGTTCCTACTATGCTGGAAGGTGGCATGGTTTGGAGTGAATTCGAATTAACCCCTGATGGCAAAACCTGCCTACTCACCGATGCCCCAACATTTGCAATTTAAAACGATCAGAGGGACAAAGGACTGACCTATCCCCTCCCTAACTCCCCACCTACACTCACCTTTACTGGATCCATCCCTGCCCCTTCGACCTGTCTGTTTCCTCTCCACCTATCTTCTCCTCTATCCATCTTCTATCCGCCTCCCCCTCTCTCCCTATTTATTTCAGAACCCCCTTCCCCTCCCCCATTTCTGATGAAAGGTCTAGGCCCGAAACGTCAGCCTTTCTGCTCCTATGATGCTGCTTGGCCTGCTGTGTTCATCCAGCTCTGCACCTTGTTGTCTCGGATTCTCCAGCATCTGCAGTTCCTACTATCCCTATCTAAAGGCTTGTTTAGATTGATACAGGGCTGTGTGGAGACAGTGGGGCAATGGAATTAGTTTAGTCATTGATACAGGACTATGGGAGAGCGCAGGTCAGTGGGATTAGTTTGGAGATTCATGCAGGGTTACAAAGAGTGGGTGGGGCAGTGGGATTAGTTTGGGATTGATACAGGCATATGGAGAGAGTGTGGGGCAGTGGGATTAATTTGGGGATTTATACAGGGCTATGAGAGTGAATGGGGCAGTGGGATTAGTTTGTGATTGCTACAGGGCTAAGGAGAGAGTGGTGCAGTGGAATTAGTTTTGGATCGATACAGGGCTATGGGGAGAGAGCAGTGCTGTTGGATTAGTTTGGGTGTTGATACAGGGCTATGGAGAGACCGCTGGACAGTAAGATTAGTTTGGGATTGATACAGGGTTATGGGGGTAGTGTGGGGCTGTGGTATTAGTTTGGGTCTGCTACAGGGTATGGGGAAAGAGCGAGGCAGTGGGATTAGCTTGGCATTGATACAGGGCTATGGGGAGAGAGTGAGACAGTGTGACTTGTTAGGAATTGAGACAGGATTATTTGGACATAGTTGAGCAATGAGATTAGTTTGGGTTTGATACAGAGCAACGAGGAGAGAGTGGAGCAGTGAGAATAGGTTAGCGATTGATACAGGACTATTGTGAGAGAACAGGGCAGCGTGATTAGTTTGGAAATGGTCACAAACTGTGGAAAAAGCGCAAGTCAATTTGATTATGTTGGGATTGAGACAGGACTGTTGGGAGTGAGCAAATTTATGGGATTAGTTGGCGGAGTCATAGGACTATGGGAAGAGAGTCAGACAGTGGAATTACTTTAGATACATAACTGTGGCAGGATCAGATGTGTGGAGTTTGGGATGATACACATCTATGAGAAGAGTGTGAGCCAGTGGGATTTATTTAACAGCAATGCAGTCGTGTCTGATTGATGATTACTCATACCAAATTTAAAGATTTGATTTTTAAACAGTGGCATACAGTTTGGTTACTTTTCTGAAGTTTTCCACAGTGAGACCAGTGGCTGAGTGACATCATGAACCAAAGTGAGACACTACAGTGGGGAAATAAACTGTGCTTGGTAATTAGGACTAGTGAATATGCCTCATCTTTAAAGTAAACGCTTCAGTTTGTGTCTGGGTCTCCACTGTGTTCTGAAAAAAGTAACTGCTTATCCGTTAGATTGATATTGATGACCTTTTCCTTTTTCATTTTGAAACATTTGTGAGACCTTGCTAAAACTCTACAGAGCACTAATCAGACCACTATTGTAATACCGTGAACATTTTAGGGACTCCTTATCTAAGTCCAGAAAAAGTTCAATCTGATGATACCAAGCATGGAGGGAGTGTCTTATAAGAATAGGTTGAGTATATTTGGCCTGCACTCACTGGAGTTTAGAAAATGAGAGGCGATCTTAATGAAACATACAAGGAACTTAGGGGCCTGGACAGGCAAGAGGTTATTACGCTTGTAGGACAGTCTAGGACCAGAGGGCATTATCTCAGGATAAGGGGGTCATCCATTGAAGATGGTTATGAGGAATTTCTTTATCTTTTTTTCATTGGACGTTTGATAATCTTTAAGTTAGTGGACAATAATCCTCACTGTTATGCTATTTTTTTTATTCATTCATAGGATGAGGGTGTCGCTGCATAGGCAGCATTAATTGCCCATTCTTAATTGCCCAGAGGATAGTTAAGAGTCAACCACATTGCTGTGGTCTGGAGTCACATGTAGGCAAGGCCAGGTAAGGATGACAGCTTCTTTCCGTAAAGGACATTAGTGAACCAGGTGGGTTTTTCACGGCAATCGGCATCAACACAGAATTTGCTGTGATATAGGTTAAGCATAATTCTGAAACTAAGACCTATTCAAAAACATATCTTTAAAATCCCTGCACCTCCTTATTCGCTTCCCACTTCCCATTCCTTATCAGATATTTCAGACACAGTTCTTAACCGGTGACATGTTTCCTAGCACTTACCAGTAACTTTGAGGATCACTTTGGACTCATTTGTTCCTGGATTTGTGCCATTACCTGGTGGAGGAGAAGGAATAACTTGTCTTTATAGACTACCTTTCATATCCCCAAGAGGTCCCATTAATTCACCCTGAGCTTACACAGAAAGCATCAGAATTTAAATGAGCAGAATAAATCATGAGATGGAGCCATGAAGACTTACTGGAAAGATTTTTGGTGAGTTTGCGTTCCTTTCTCTCTTGATTTACCCTGTTACCTGGGAGATAAGAAGCAATAAAGATGTCTTTACATCCCCAGAATGTCCCAAGCAATTAATTTTTCTTGAACTGTTTCCACAATCATCAATTGCGATGACAGGTTATCTAATTTATACACAGGAATTAAAAGGTTAAGCAATTTGCTTTGTTTTCACTGGTCTTGTTTGAGGGTGAACAGAATAGTCAGGAGATATTATTATCTTTCTTTGATATATAAGCAAAAGAAACAGAAAATGCTGGAGAAACTCAGCAGCGCTGGCAGTATCTGTAGAGAGAGGAAAAACTGGTAACATTTCGAGTCTGGTATGATTTATCTTTAGAACTCAAAGAAGCAGGAAAGTGATAACACAGTGTGGAGCTGGAGGAACATAGCAGGCCAGGCAGTATCTGAGGAGCAGGAAAGTTGACGTTTTGGATCGGTTTCTGAAGAAGGGTCCCGACCCAAAACGTCAGCTTTCCTGCTCCTCTGATGCTACCTTGACCTGCTGTGTTCCTCCAGCTCCACATTGTGTAAACTCTGACTCCAGCATAGGCAGGTCTTACGATTTCAAAGCTGGAAAGTGGTAGTTTTTATGTTTTTGATGGAGGTGGAGAGGAGGAATGAGAGAATGGTGAGGGTTTTTAGATTAACAGACAATGAGAGCGCTAATGGTGATGGTAAAGGTGCAATTGAGATGAAAAATAAACATAAATGAAGGCATTAAAAGGAGGAAGATGGTCCACTTTGCTGATATCAAACTCAACAAGACCTAAACAAGACTTATTGAGGTGGGATGGGGGTGGTGGAAATGGGATTATACTTTTCTATTCATTTGTGGGGTGTGGGCATTGGCCGGCCAGCATTTCTTGCCCATCCCCAGTTGCCCTTGAGAAGGTGGTGATGAGCTGCCTTCTTGGACCACTGCAGTCCACCAGCTGTAGGTTGATCCACAATGCCATTAGGAAGGGAATTCCACTGTTTTGGCCCAACAATAGTGAAGGAACAACAATATTTTTCCAAGTCAGGATGGTGAGTGGTTTGCAGGGGAACTTGGAGATGGTGGTGTTCCCACATGTCTGCTGCCCTTGTCCTTCTGGATGGAAGTGGTCATGTGTTTAGAAGGTGCTGTCTGAGGACCTTTGGTGAATTGCTGCAGTGGCATCTTGTAGATAGTACACACTGCTGCTACTGAGTATTGGTAGTGGAGGGAGTGGATGCTTGTGATGTAGTGCCAATCAAGCGGGCTCCTTTGTCCTGGATGGTGATAAGCTTCTTGAGTGTTGTTGGGGCTGCACCCATCCAGGCAAGTGGGCAGTATTCCATCATACTCCTGACTTGTGCCTTATAGACGGTGGACAGGCTTTGAGGAGTCAGGAGGTGAGTTACTCACTGCAGTATTCCTAGAATCTGACCAGCTCTTGTACCCACTGTGTATATGTGGTGAGTCCAGTTGAGTTTCTGGTCAATGATAATCCCCAGGATGCTGATAGTGGGGAATTCAGTGATAGTAACATCATTGAATGTCAAGGGGTGGTAATTAGATTGTTTCCCATTGGTGATGCTCATAGCCTGGCATTTATGTGGCACGAATGTCACTTGCCACTTGTCAGCCCAAGCCTCGAAATCGTCCAGATCTTTTTGCACTTGAACATGGACTGAGGATTCACGAATGGTGCTGAACATTGTTCCATCATTGGTGAATATCCCCACTTCTGACTTTATGGTAGAATGTAGGTCATTGATGAAGCAGATGAAGATGGTTGGGCTGAGGACACTACCTTGAGGAATTCTTGCAGAGATGTCCTGGAGTTGAGATGATTGAGCTCCAACAACCACAACCATCTTCCTCTGTGTCAAGTATGAGTCCAACCACAAGAGACTTTGACCCTGATACCCATTGATTCCAATCTTGCTCAGGCTCTTTGATGCCACACTTGGTTGAATGCAGCCTTGATCTCAAGGTCTGTCACTCTCATCTCACCTCGGAATTCAACTGTTTTTTCCATGTTTGAACCAAGGCTGTGATGAGGTCAGGAGCTGAGTGGCCCTGGTGGAACCCAAACGGGGCATCACTGAACAGGTTATTGCTGAACAGGTGCTGTTTGATAGCATTGTTGATGACACCATTCATCACTTTACTGATGACCGAGAGTAGACTGACAGGGTAATAATTGGCCGGGTTGGATGTGTCCTGATTTTTGTGTACAGTAAATACTTGGGAAATTTTCCACATTGCTGGGTAGATACCAGTGTTGTAACTGAACTGGAACAGCTTGGCTTGGGGAGCAGAATGTTCTGGAGAACAAGACTTCAGTACTATTGCTGGAATTTTGTCAGGGCCATAGCTTTTGCAGTCTCAAGTGTCTCAAATATTTCTTGATATCACATGGAATGAATCAAATTGGCTGAAGACTGGTATTGGTAATGCTGGGGATCACTGGAGGAGGCTGAGATGGATTATCCACTTGGCACTTCTGGCTGAAGATTGCTGCGAATACTTCAGCCATGTCTCTTCCTCTGAGGTGCTGAGCACTTCCATCATTGAGGATGAGGATATTTGTGGATCCTCCTCCTCCAGTGATTTGTTTAATTGCCCACCACCATTCACAACTGGATGTGGCAGGACCTCAGAATTTAGGTCTTATCTGTTAGTTGTGGGATCGCTTAGCTCTGTCTATCACTTGCTGCTTTCGCTGTTTGGTGTGCAAGTAGTCCTGTTTGGCAGCTTCACCAGGTTGATACCTCATCTTCAGGTACGCCTGGTGCTGCTCCCGGGCATGCCCTCCTGCACTCTCCATTGCAACAGTGTTGATCCCGTGGCTTGGTGGTAATGGTTGAGTGGGAGGTATGCCAGGCCACGAGGTTACAGATTCTGCATGGAATACAGTTCTGCTGTTGTTGATGGCTCACAGCACCTCATGGATGCTCAGTCTTGAGTTGCTATATTTGTATGAAGTCTGTCCCATTTAACACGGTGGTCGTGTCACACAATATGATGGAAGTTATTCTCAATGTGAAGGTGGGAATTCGTCTCCACAAGGACTGTGTGATGGTTACTCTTACCGATACTGTCATAGACAGATGCAACTACAGCTGGCAGATTGGTAAGGATGAGGTCAAGCATGTTTTTCCCTCTTGTTGATTCCCTCACCACCTATCGCAGGCCTAGTCTAGCAGCTGTGTCCTTTATGAGCAGACCAGCCCGATCTGTAGTATGCTACCGAGCCAGTCTTGGTGGTGGGCATTGAAATCCCCCACCCAGAGTACATTTTATGCCCTTGCCATCCTCAGTGCTTTGTCCAAGTGTTGTTCAATATGGAGGAGTACCGATTTGTTGGTTGAGGGAGGATGTTATGTGGTAATCAGCATGAGGCTTCATTGCCTATGTTTAACCTGAAGCCATGAGACCTCATGGGATCCAGAGTCAATGTTGAGGACTCCGAGAACAACACCCTCCCGACTGTATACTACTGTGCCACCATCTCTGCTGGTCTGTCCGACTGGTGGGGCAGGGCATATCCAGGGATGGTGATGTTGGTGCCTGGGACATTGTCTGTAAAGTATGATTCTGTGAGTATGACTGTGTCAGGTTGTTGCTTAAGCAGTCTGTGAAATAGTTCTTCCAATTTTGGCACTGGCCTCCAGATGTCAGTGAGGAGGACTTTGCAGGTTTGACAGGGCTGTTTCTGCCATTGTCTTTTCTGGTGCCTAGGTTGATGGCAGGTGATCTATCTGGTTTCATTTCTTTGAGACTTTGTAGTGATTGGTACAACTGAGTGGCTTGCTCGGCCATTTCAGAGGGCAATTGAGAGCCAACCACATTGTTGTGGGTCTGGAGTCACATGTAGACCAGACCAGGTGAGGCGGCAGATTTCCTTCCCTGAAGGACATTAGTGAACCAGATGGGATGCAAGGGAATATAAGAAAAAATGAAGATAGCCATGTTCTGAAGTTGTGGAATTCAATATTGAGTCATACAGACTGTCAAGTGCCTCAGAGAGGAAATAAGGAGTTGTTCCTAAAAATAAATAAAGAACTGCAGATGACAGACATCTGAAATGAAAACAGAAATTGGTGGTGAAAATCAGTATGACAGCATCGGTGGGGAAAGAGAAAGCAGAATTAATGTGATTCTTCATCAGTTCATCAGCACTGTGAAGCCTTTTGCCACATCCTGGACAGTTAAACAGGAAAACTGTTTAATTTCATGTCTGGAGGAGCGCAGCTGAGATGCTGAGAATTGCTTTAGGAGTCATAGAGGTTTCTTTTTTTTTAACTACTAATCTTGATACAGCATGGGCAAGTAGTGGAGTAATGGTAATGCCACTGCATTATCACCCAGAACCCCAGGTTAACGTTTCTGGGGACATAGGCACAAATACTATGGTTGACAATGATGAAATTGAATTCAATATAAATCTGAATTTAAAACGAAAGCTAATGTAATGATGACTTTTCAAGCACTATAAATTGTCATTGAAAGAAAAACATCACTAAAGTCCTTTTGGGAAGGAAATCTGCCATCTTACTCGGCCTAGCCTATGCGTGACTCCAGGCCCAGAATAATGTGGTTGTTTCTTAACTGCTCTTTGGTCATGAATGTTGGCCTTGCCAATGCTGCCATTTCCCTGAATAAATAGAATTTTATTTTTGCCTATTTTGCCATCTATGGAATGTTTTGGGCAGCTTGTGTTAAAGATGGTAATTGCAACATGTTTCTGGAGGGGTTCTATTCTCAGGAGGATATCGGATTGTCAGAACTGTGACTGTTTCCAGCATTGAACTGGAGATCGAACCCACAATTTGTCTTGCAGTGTTCCTGTTTCACAGTATTGTTATGGTGTGGAAAGATAATGTTCAGCCCATCTTGCCTGCATCAACTCTTGAAATGCACATTGTTACCAAGTGCCAATCTGCTGTAGGGCCATAGGGGAGTGTTCTCCAACATACAGATTGAGGGGTTTAGGTACATAGTTCATTGAAAGTGGTGTAACAGGTAGAAAGGGTGGTAAAGAAGATGATTGGCCTGTTTGCCTTCATTGATCAGTGCATTGAGTACAGGAGTTAGGACATCATGCTGCAGCTGTACAAGACATTGGTGAGGTCACATTTGGAGTACTGTATACAGTTCTGGTTCACCTGCTATAGGAAGGATGTTATTAAACTGGAAAGAGTAGAGAAAAGATTTACAAGGACGTTAACAAGAAGGGAAGGTTTGAGTTACAGGGAGAGGCTGGATAGGCTGAGATTTTTTTCCCCTTGGACTATAGGAGGCTGAGCAGTGAACTTATAGAGGCTTATAAAATCATGAGGGGCATAGATAAGTTGAATAGCCAAGATCTTTTCCCCAGGATAGGGGTGTCCAAACTAGAGGGCATAGATTTAAGAGAGGGGAAAGCTTTAAGATGGACCTGAGGGGCAACCTTTTCACAGAGAGGGTGGTGTGTGTATGGGGCAAACTGCCAGAGGAAGAGGTAGAGATGGGTGCAATAACAACATTTAAAAGATATTTTGATGGGTACGTGATAGGAAAGGTTTAGAGAGATATGGGCCAAACACAGGCAAATAGGACTAGTCAATTTTAGGAGAGCTGTTCAGCATGGACAAGTTGGACTGAAAGGTCTGTTTCGGTGCTGTATGACTATGCCTCAGTGGTTCCTGCCTTCTGCGCACCCCCCTACCCCATACATCTGCACACGATTTGATTTGATATCATGTGTACCTAAGAGCAATGAAAAGCTTTGTTTACGAGCAATACAGGCAAATCATAGTAAGCAAGAACATACAGATCATATGGTGAAAAAAATTAGACAGAGGCATACAAGTTACATTGCACAGGCCATGCGCCAGGCAAGGCCAACATTAGCAAGATCAGCATTATTTGAAGTTGGCACAGTCCTTTCATCAATCTAATAATAGCAAGGAAGAAGCTGTTCTTGAACCAGTCAGAGAGAGCGTTCAAGCTTCTGTTATGTTCTGCCTGACGTAAGAGGTTGTAGGGACCCAAATAATCATCTGGTGCCTCTGGTTTCTTTCCAATTTTTCATCTGCTGGTAAATCCAGCTGGAAATTTAAGCCTGCAAACATTGACGGATGATATGTGTCATTCTCTGCCACTTGCAGCTGATGAAGGCTGCAGTGAGAATTTGGCATGCTCTACGAAGGTCATTGGTCAAAGCAGGATAGTTCACCCTTTCATGCCCACCTGACTTGATGGACTATCTGCTATGATTAGGACACAAGAATGATTCACGTGAGTTGTGATCTGCACTGTACGGCTGGCTATGGAGATCATATCATCCCAGCATGCATTGCAGAATTGCAAGCGCCGTATGAAAATGACAGTGTCTATTATTTTCATGGAAGGTTTTCCCCACTTGTTAAGGATGCTGGGAGAACACAACCTTCATTGCTCCCGCTTGTCCAACACAGTGGGCACGTACAAAATAGCGTTTCGCAATCCCACAGCCGTGCGACAGTGCACAAAATGCAGAAAGGGAAAGAGAAAAGGAGGAAGACAGACCCAATGCAAATGGGGAACGAACTTTAATGAAATTTGCGCGACGCAGTTTTATCAGTTCTAGCTTGCTGCAATAGTTCAGCTCTGATGATTTACCCACAGTCACCACAACGTAACTCAAGACTCCGACCACAAAATCCCTGGTTAATTAGATATAGGGGCAGAAAATGATCAATCAATGAACCTCCAGCCACCCTCCGCCCCACTGTTCAACCTTTCAATTGATTCATGGCACCATTGACAAGTCTAGTATTTGTTGCTGATCCCTAATGGCACTTGAACTGAGCAACTTGTTTGGCCACTTCAGAGGGCAGTTAAGACCCAACTGCACTGACTGTGGGTATGGAGTCACATGCAGGTCAGACTAGGCAGGGACGGCAGATTTTCTCTCCTAAAGGAGGAATCGATGAAGCAGATTAATTTTGTACATTTTGTACGTGACAAATTAAAATCAAATCAAAAGTCCACAAACCCAATGATCTCTTGTATTTAACATACATGTAGTTGAGCCTTTTGGGGAAGAGAGTTCTGAGGATTTACTGTCCGATGAGCGAAGAAATTTCTCCCCAGCTCAGTCCCAAAAGGCTGTGACTGTACTTGAGCTGCCAACTCGATGCCAATTAAATGCCAAAGCAGACATTGAGGAAAGGGGTGCCAGTCCCGTACCTGGTACAACATGAAGCTGGGTCCCGCTCCCCCTCATCTGGATAATGGGCAGAGGCTCAAGGAGTTCAATAATGCAGACGTAGAGGCCACTGTCTCTGGCGTTGACGTCACTGATTCGCAACATGCTTCTCCTTGCTTGCAGGTCCACCTTGAGTGCCAGTCTCTCACTGGTCTTGCCCCCCGTCACATTACTAGGCACAATCACATAGACCTCACCTTCAGGCAGGTCCCACTGCAAGGCCACCAGGTGTGATGGGTGACCAGATGGGTTGAAGTGGCAGGACAGTGCCACTTCTTCCCCTTCCTCCACCTCCAGCCAATTAGGATACTGGTGGACCCCACTACGAGCTGGACTTCCTGTTTTAAGAGAGAAAAAAATGCAAGGAGACTAATTAGTGAAGTTACATTGGATAAAATTAGATTGCCATTTGGATTAAAAAAATTGGCTTGATGGTGGGAGACAGAGACTGGTGGTGGAGAGTTGTTTTTCAGATTGGAGGCTGGTGGCATTCCACAGGGATTGGTATTGGGTCCATTTATGTTTATCATTTATAGAAATGACTAAGATGAGAATATAGAAGGCGTGGTTAGTAAGTTTGACACCAAAATTGTTGGCATAGTTAACAGTGAAGAAGGTTATTTAAGATTACAAATAGATTGTGATCAACTGGTTCAATGGGCTGAAGAGTGGCACGTGGAGTTTAATTTGGATAAATGCAAGATATTGCACTTCGGTATTTCAGATAAAGACAGGGCATATACAATTAAAAGCAGGGCCTTGGGTAGTGCTGTAGAACAGAGATTTCCAGGGGTTCAACTGCATAATTCTTTAAAATTTGCATCACATATAGATTGGCTGGTTAAGAAAGTATTTAGCACGCGTGCCTTCATTGCTCAGACCTTTGAGTGTAGGAATTGAGATGTTATGTTGAGGTTGTACAGGACATTGGTGAGGTGAATTCTGGAGTCCAGTTCTGGTTGCCCTGCTATCGGAATGATATAATTAGATTTCTTCTGAAATATAATTCAGAAGAGATTTACCAGGATGTTGCCAGGAATGGAGGGTTTGACTTCTAAGGAGAGCTGGAAAGTCTGGGACTTCTTTTACTGGAGGGTAGGAGGTTGAGAGGTGACATTATGGAGGTTAATAAAATCATGAAGGGCATGGACAAGGTGAATGACAGATTCCTCACCTAGGATGAGGAATTACAAGATTAGAGGGCATATATATCTGAAGTGAGAGGAGAAAAATTTAAAAAAAGAGACATGGGGGCAATTTTTTTACTCAGAGTGGTTCATATGAGGAATGAACTTCCAGAGGAAGTGGTGGTTGTGGGTACAGTTACAATATTTAAAAGACATTAAGATAAGTACATGAATAAGAAATGTTTGGAGGGATATGGGCCAAGTGCAGACAGGTAGGACTAGTTTAGCTTGGGAATATGGTCTGCGTGGACCGAAGGATCTGTTTCCATGCTATATGATTCTATAAGTCAAACCCACCCATTGAATTAGACTGAACTAGGGCACCTCAGTTTAGCTTAAGCCCCAGACCCATTACAGAAACAACAGCTTGTATTTATATAGCACCTTCTGACAAACTCTAGGATGTCCCAAAGAGCATTGAACCAATAAAATTAGAATTTCTACAGTGTGGAAACAGGCCCTTCGGCCCAACAAGTCCACACCAAACCTCAGAGCGTCCCACCCAGATCCATCCCCCTATGACCCACCTAATATACACCCTCTACCTCCCTGAACACTACAGGCAATTTAGCATGGCCAATCCACCTAACCTGCACATCTTCGGTCTGTGGGAGGAAACCAGAGCAAACCCACGCAGACACGGGGAGAACGTACAAACTCCACACAGACAGTCGCCCGAGGCTGCAATCGAACCCAGGTCCCTGGCGCTGTGAGGCAGCAGTGCTAACCACTGTGCCACTGTGTCACCCTGGATTATGATGTTGTGTTTTAATGTAGACCAACGAATTTGCTCACAGTAAGCTGCCAGTTATGCATTAGTGACTGGAATTTAAGTCATAGTGATGTCAGTTTGAGGATAGAAATGGGTCCAGAATATTATGGAGAAGGTCTTATTTAAAATCTGACTGTGGGATCTTTCAGTTCCACTTGTGAGAGCAGGTGGTTAGGTCTCTTGTCTCAAAAGTAGTGCCTCTGACAGTGCTGAAATCCTTCAGCCCTGCAAAGGGAATTCAAGTCTTAGCCTTCTGAAATGGGACACAACCTCATTACTTTCTGCCTCAAATGTGAGGGTGGTATTTACCACGCCATTTGCCACAATCAAAGGTGTCTACCCAGTGGAGTTCATGAAGAGGGTACAAAATTGTCAGAGGAATGGTTTAGCATACAAGACATTAAACTGAGACCTGGGTCGAGAAGGATGAGGACGCTACCTGAATGGGCCAAGCGCTGTACATCCCATGTTTAACATCACTGCCAAACAGATCATCAGCTTTTGTCACATTGCTGTTAGTGGGATCTTGCTGTGCATACATAGGCTGCCATTGGCCACAAATATTTCCTACATTTGAAGGGTGACAACATTCCAAAACTTCATTCAGAGGCTCTGAAATACATTGAGATTTTCCAGGGTTGCGAGAAGACACTACTGAAATGAAAGCCCTTTTTCAGAAATATAATGAGCAGATCAAGTCTGAGATAACAGTGGAGACAACACTTCCTGATCAAAATCTGCCTCTACACTGTCTTCTATCAAACACTCCCAGGACAGGAATAGCATGGGGTCAGATAAACAGTAAAACTCCTTCTGCACTGTCCCCATCAAACAATCCCAGGACAAGTACTGCACAGGGTTAGATACAGAGTAAAGCTCTCTCTAAACTTTTAAACTCAATGTAAAGCTTGTTTTACTCTTTTAAACTGCAAATAAAGTTTCCTCTACCCTTTTAAACTGACAGTAAAGCTGTCTCTACATTCTACCTATCAAACACTGCCAGGACAGGGATAACATGGGGATAAATACAGAATAAAGCTCCGCTTCACAGAAATACAGAAGGATTACAGCACATTCACCATTCACCCTGTTAGTTTATATTGGCTCTCCACCAGAGCAGTTCACCAAGTGTCTCACCATCACCTTCCCACTCTAACCCTGCACTTCATAACTTTTGAGTAAACAATGCAATTCCCCCTTGGATAATTCGATTGACTCCAGTCCCTCTACACACTCAGGCAAGCAGAACGAAGAATTCCTGAGGTGAAAAAACATCAAACCAGGCCATGGAAAGTAGAGAGAGATTCATATCAACAAGACAGACTGGAAAGCAGTGAGAGAGAAAGAGAGAGAGAGAGAAAATGAACTGCAAGAAATGCATTTATGGATAAAGGGCCAGGCTGAGTGGTGGATATTTTTAGGAGCTAGAGATGGTGATATGAAATTTTAAAGAAATGTTGATATGATGGATATTTAAACAGACTGATAGATCCACAGAAAAATATATGAAGAGACAAAAAATATGAGGAAACCTTGTGTTAAGTTATTACCTCTCATTTTTAAAACACTGATGTGTTCTCAGCAAGGACTACACTTTTGAAGGTGGATGGGTGGTAAAGTCACCACACAACCCATTAGAAAGGGTCAAAAAGCAGCTGTGGTTCAGCCTCGACATCACCACCTCTCAGGTGAGGGAAGAAGTTCTTCATAGTAACCTCAGGCAGTGCAGAAATTGAACCTACACTCTGTGGTGGTAGGTAAACAATAAACCCCCTGTGACGCCAACTGAGATAATCAAATTGCACCATGCATTAATCACTAGGTGCATAGGTAACTTGATAGATAACTAGCCAGCTAGATAGATAGATTGTGAATTAGGTAGATAGGTAGTTAGGTAGGTAGGCAGGTAGATAGAAATTGCTGGAAAATCTCAGCAGATCTGGCAGCATCTGTGGAAAGAAATCAGAGTTAAGGCTTTGGATTGAGTGACTTTTCCTCAGCAGTTCCAAGTTTAGGGTTATTTTTGGGGAAGGGTCAACCACCCTGAAATGTTAACTCTGATTTCTCTCCGCAAATGCTGTCAGACCTGCGAGTCTTTTCCAACAATTTCTGTTTTTCTTTTGATTTACAGCATCTGCAGTTCTTTCGATTTTTAGGTGGATAGATAGATGGATGGATGGATAGATAGATGGATGGATGGATAGATGGATGGATGTTTAGATGGATTAATGGATGGATGGATAGGTGGATAGAAAGAAAGACAGATTGTTAGTTGATTATCGAACTGAAGGAAGATGATTTCTCCTGTTTTACGTTACCTTGAATTAATAACAACCAGAGGCTGATTCCAGTCACACTGGAGAGTTTCATATCCATAATTCACATCCAGTCACAGGCTGCTCAATGACCTTGGGCCTGAAGGAAATTGATAAGCAGCCGAATCTTACACTGGAGAACAATCACGCATGAGAAATCAGCCTGTAACTGAGTCTTGTGCAGAAAGACTTCAACTCTGAACCCGTCCGGACACAGCAACGCAGAGATGGTCTTTGTGCTCCTATCTCAGTGTGACATGCATTAGCTCTGTCAATATCAGTGAAGAGGTCAAGCATGCTGGGGCAGTTTTATTCTGACTCACTGTCTCTATGTGCTGTCGCCATAGGAAACCATTTAACCTCTACCCTCTTTCAGTTTCCTCTTTGATTCTGGGACAAATTGCACAAGAACAAAACTTTCTTTTCCTTTCTTACACAATCATTCCATGGCGTCTCCTACCCTCCATCAGTTCGCCATCGATTTCTTTGCTGACACCGTTCCCAGTGCAACAACTTTAACCTCTAAATCTCACCTCCTCCATGCTCCATTCGCTTACACTCACACACATCCCCCCACTCTATCAGTCTTACATTTTGATTCTATAGCCCAGACACATGGTCCCAATCCCATATCGCAATCCAAACTCTTTCATTGAACTCTATATCTCATATTCCTACCTTACACCCCAATCCTATCTCCCAATCGACCACCCCATCCTGATATTTCCAATCTACAACACAACCCTCCATCCCAATCTTACATGGCAAAACTGTATTCCAAACTCAAATTCCAAATCCCTCATGGAAATCCCAATCCTAATTCCCTAATTCTTCCAAGTGTATTTCAACCTTTTGTTTTCAATTGACTGAATGCAAAAACACAGTAACAATAACATTTCAGCTTGCTTAATAACATATAATCAAGAATGTTTGTTATTATGATTTTGTTTTTCCATCCAATAGTTCAAATTCAAATCCAATCTTTCATCCAAACCTAGATCCCAATCTTATTTTGCAATGCTCTATTCCAAATTACATTCCAAAGCCTTTACCTATATCCAAATCCTAAATCCATAACCCTACTAATTCCCATTTTCCAATCCAACAGGACAAATTTACAAACCCAGATTCCAAGCTTACATCACAACTCTTCATTTGAATCCAAATTCAGAACCCTATGACCCTCGCCTTAAATCCCAATCCTAAATCTGCAGTCTTGATCCAATCCCAATTTTGCCTCACGACAGGGTAAATTTACATTCCAATCTTCCATCCAAAACCTTGATCTTACACCCTGACACTACAACTCAATCCTACTTCAAAACTTGTTGGGTCAATCCTGTATCTCAATCCTGCATTTCAATTCTATGTTCCAAATCCGGATGCCAATCCTGTATTCCAAAAGTTCAAGCCAACTTTACATTCCAAGCAGAAACCAAACATTCTAACTTCTCTCTACATTGAGGATCTACTTTATCCCAGCTCTACTACCTTTTCTTGTTGAATGAAAATAATGGGTTTAAGTTGTGATGCCTCTAAAGTCAACCAACCCCTCTGCAGCCCATGTCCCACTTAACTTGAGGTCATGGGAACCAAGGGCCCTCGACCAAGTCATTGGGCCTTAAGGAGAGGGTTGAAGAGAAACTTCAGGAAGTGGAGTGGAGGGCATGCCCCTGTTTTACCAATGGTATTGAGGTACAGGTGGTTGAGAATATCAAGTTCCAAGGAGTGAATATCACCAAAGATCTATCCTGGTCCATCCACGCCAATGCTACAATCAAGAAAGCACACCAAAGCCTGTACCTCCTTAGAAAGCTAAGGAGATTTGGCATTTCCACATTGACTTACCAATTTGTGTGGATGCACCGTAGAGATTTTTCAAGATGGTGGCACAAGGTAGGCAGCATTTGGGCTCCTGGGCCCGTCTTCTCCAGTCGGGATGCTTCCTCCTTTTTATTTCCTTACGCTTTTTGTCTTCTTTATTTTTCTTTTCTCCATCATTCGATCATACCTGATATGTTTCTCAACCTCATTCACCTGAATTCTGCCCGTAACCCTTGATCCTCCTTATTGATGAAGAACCTATGCACCTTGTTTTAAAGACACTCAATGACTTGGCCTCCAATGCCCTCTGCGGCAAAGAGTTCCACAGAATCACCACACTCCGCCTGATGAAATTCCTCCTCATCTCTGTTCTAAAGGGTCATACCATCACTGTCAGGCTATGTCCCCGGGTCCGAGTCTCTCCAACTGGTGGAAACATCTTTTCCACGTCCACTCTATCCAGGCCTCTCAGTATCCCATAAGATTCATTCAGTGATTGTGAGCCCAGTGACCTAGAGAAGAGTGGCAGGCAGTCTGACTGTGTTCTGTTGTGTCCAGAGGCAATCGTTTGCAGTTGACGTGATCTGTAATGATGGTTCAATCATCTACGCCCCATTCAGTAGGACTGTGATAAGACAGGGCAATCTGTTCCACAAAGATGGCTGAGTAATGATGGAGTGATGTTGCAGGGATCAGGTGAGACACGGAGGGAAAGGGAGAGGTAGGGAACTGTGCCTCACAATACTCGCTCCTCATCTCGATTTCAAATCTGCCATCCCTTACCCTAAAACTGTGACCTTGCATTCAAAATGACCCACATGGGGAAACATCTTCTGTATATCTACTTTGTCAATCCCCTTTAGCATCTTATAGAACAAAAGAACAATACTGCACAGGAAAGCTTGAAAGCTGCTATATTGTCTGATTCCACCACCTCCCCAGCAAGTACATTCCAGGCACTCATCACCTTTAGTGTGAAAAAAATTCCTAGCAATCTCTTCTAGACTACCCCCCTTGCAGCTTGAACCTGTGTCCTCTGGTAATCTCTCTACCCTCGGAAAAAGCCTCATACTCTCCACTCTATTCATGCCATTCACAGTCTTATAAACTTATATCAGATTGCCCCTCAACCTCCTGCATTCCGATGAAAACAAACCTAGTCTATCCAAACTTTCCTCATTGCCAAACTCACCCATACCAGGCAACATCTTGGTAAACGTTTCCTGTATCCTCTCCAGAGCATCCATATCCTTCTGGTAGTATGGGGACCGAAATTCGATCTCCTTCCATTCTTCTAAACTGCACAGAGAGTATCAGCCTAAACTGCGCAATCTCTCCGCATAAGACAGATCCCTCATCTCGAATTAAACCAGTGAACCTTCTCTGCACTCCCCTCAAAGAAATTATGGTCTTGATGAACTCTGATCTCAGCTTGATTGTGAGCTTTCTGTTCACCACTTTTATGTCTCTGATCATCTACGTAACACAATTCTATGACAATCCCAAATTCAACTGATAAATAGCCCACATTTTCAGATCTCACTCATTGTATGTGTTTGAAAGCAAAGCTTCCGCTTTAGCAGAGTTTCTGTGACAGTCCAGTCTATTACTGTTGAATGACAGCACTTAATCTGCAGACACACAGAAACACACACACAATCACTTACAAACCAGTGAGCTTTTAATTAATTAGGTCATCCCCAGGCCCCATATAATTTCCTCATTTCATTCCAAATCAGTTAATGTCATGGCGGCTAAACCTGCAAAGTTTCGGGTAATATCTGCCTTTTATTTGCAACAAACATGGAAACAGCTTCTCGTCACCTCAAAAGGCCTAGTTTTGAAAGGTGGCCCATATTAAACGGGTTGTGTTGGCAGGAATGATCGGGAAATTTGGAGCTGGGAAAGGAGCTGGTCTTTGAGAGGAAGGCATGCCCAGGAATTATATCATCGTAACAAGGACCAAGAACATTGATGAAACTCAGCAGGTCTGGTGGAATCTGTAGAGACAGAAAGAGTTCACGCTTCAATTCCAGTGAGCCTGCTTCGGAACATTAGAATATAAGAACAAAAGAAGTGGGAGCAGGAGTAGGCCATCTGGCCCCGCCATTCAACAAGATCATGGCTGATCTTTTTGTGGATTCTGCTCCACTTACCCACCCACTCACCATAACCCTTAATTCCTTCACTGTTCAAAAATTTATCTATCTCTGCCTTGAAAACATTCAAGCAGGTAGTCTCAGCTGCTTCCCTGTGTGGGGAATTCCACAGATTCACAACCCTTTTGGGTGAAGACATCCCTCCTCAAACCAGTCTGAAATCTGCTCCCCGTAATTTTGAAGCTATGTCCCCTAGTTTGAGTTTCACTCGCCAGTGGAAACAACCTCCCTGCTTCGATGTTATTGATTGCCTTCATAATTTTATATATGTCCATAAGTTCCCCCCTCATTCTTCTAAATTCCAATGAGTATAGTCCCATTCACCTCCATCGCTCCTCACAAGCCAACACGCTCAATTCCAGAATCAACCATACGACAAGAACAAATAAGATCAGCAGTAGGCTATTTAGCCCCTTGTGTCTGTTCTGCCACTAAATAGGATCATAGCTGATTCAACATTCCTCACGTCCACTTTTCTGCCCTTTCCCTGTAACCTTTGATTCCCTGATTGATCAAGAACTTAAATATACACAAGGACTCTGATCCCAAAGCTCTCTGTGGCAAGAAGTTCCAAAGATTCTCAACCCTCTGAGAGAGGAAATTCCTCATCTCAGTCTTAAATTAGCTCCCCTTTATACTGAGACTGTGCTGTCTAGTCCTTGACCCTCCCAAGATGAGGAACATCCTGGAAGATCATAAGATAAAGTAAAGGAGCAGAATTAGGCCATTCAGCCTATCAAGTCTGCTCCATGTTTAGATCAAGAGGTTTCTCAACACCATTCTCTTGCCTTCACTCCATAACCATTAATCCCCTTACCAATCAAGAATCTGTCTAAACTGCCTTAAAGCACTCAATGACTTGGCCTCCATAGCTCTCTGTGGCCATGAGTTCCACAGATTCACCTCACTCTGGCTGAAGAAAATACTCCTCATCTCACTTCTAAAGGGTCATTCCTTCACTCTGAGGCTGTGTTTTTGAGTCCAACTAATGGAAACATCTCTCCACGTCCACTCTATCCAGGCCTCTCGGTATTCTGTAAGTTTCAATCAGATGTCCCCTCATTCTTCTAACCTCCTTCGAGAACACACCCAGAATCCTCAACCACTCCTTGTATGACAAGCCCTTCATTCCTGGCATCATTCTTGTGAACCTCCTCCAAGGCTAGCATATCCTTCTTTAGATACGGTACCCAAATCTGCTCATGATATTCCAAACGCAATCCTGTCAGTATTGACCCTGTCAAGCCCCTTAACAATCCTCTTGGTTCATATCTA